ACCCATTCACTGCAGAGGATCCATTGGTGAGCAAGTGATACAATGCTAAATTTCTCCAAATCTACTATTCCTGAACTATTCCTGTAATCATTACATAACCTGTGCACAACGGTTTGGCTAACAGTTGAGACTACCCAGACCACATTAGATTAAACTGAAAGCCTTTAACAGACTCGTACATCGACCGATGAACCTCCTCTGATTTCTCTAATTCAATTTACTGAGATATTCAGTTATGTCATGCAGAAAAGCAGAAGTTTTCAATTTGCTCAGTCACTTAGCATAAAAATCTCTTGAGCGCGGCACTCCGATTTAACCATTCACAAGGCTGTTTGCTGCAGCACTTTGTCATGTGGAGAACTGAATTCTTTCAGTTAATGAATGAAGAGTGTTTCTGTAAAAGTTTTAATTGCATGATCCAAATTTAACATCTTGCCATATTGTGCCTCGAGATGAAAATTATAATGATGGGACATTAACAGAACGTATTCTTGGCATTGCCACACATTATAGGGACCCCATCTGTTTGAGATGTTCTCTCTTATGTGGGACACAAATAAACAGTCTCTTGAATCTCTCCAATGAATGTTGATCTAGTTTACAAATCTGCTCGGTTCTTAAGTTCAACTTCGTGACTGGCGAAGATCATGGCTTGTTGGCTTGTTTTTCACACTAGTGTAAGAGTTGCATGTACCAATTTTTCATTTCTTTTTTTAAAAGTTTGAATGCCTCAGTCTGAAAAAGAGACTATAATTGTTCAAAACGTTTCCTACTGTGTTTTGCACGAGAAGGTCATATGGGTTTGCAATGAATTTACATTTTTGGGTGTTTGATCACTTAAATCCTCCATCACTGATAATCTCATCGTCTTTAGTTAAATAAACTGAATACACCTTGAGTAAACAAATTATGCTTGAATATAACCAACCTGGAATCCTTGAAAGTACTAGAAGATCAAGAATCTGTTGTCTCCATTACAACTAAAGTAAAAAGGTACATTTAAAGGAATAACTTACTGCCAAACGGACAACTATTATTATGCAGTCCGTAAGTTTTGCCTCTTTGCCGCCATCTCTGTTTGAAAACCTGGAATTGCAGCTGTGTGCGGAATTATCTAGCTTGCGTGGTTTGTGAGTCGGCACGGCTACAGTGCGGATGAATCTAATGTTCTGAAGAGTATGTGTGGCAGTCAGTCACCGCACCTGTGTGGATATTTACTGTACTTCGCAATCACATTCTAGCCTATGTCTTGGAATATGACCCAAATAAGAATTTTCACCGTATATTGCCATCTGAGCAAGTAAGTAACAAGTCTGCCACGTTTGTTCTGACCAACTGAGGAAAAAAGCATTACCATAAATCTCGCTACCAATTGTGATTAAATCTAAAGATCGGTTAGCTCATATCACGTCAAACCGTTCAAATGATTATCATTGTTATACTTTATTCTCAAATTATTAATGTTAACAACATCAGCATTGGTGACTATGAGTATAGTGTGTATTAGCGTGTAGATTT